TCAAGCACTAATCCTCCATCATCTCCCTACTGCCCCACTCCCCAACGAAAAGATAGTGTGGAGCAATATCTAACTAGTCTTTACTGTTTGTCACTATTTGATCCTACTGTGTAAGAGGTGTGGCAGCATTACTTTTTTCTTATTTTTAATTGAAGAAATCCTGAAAATATTTCTCATCATTTGCATTGCTCTGTAAAAAGGCAAACTGAAGGAATGCCCAACCTTTTGTAGCGATATTAGGCAGAGGGGCAAGAGGATCACCTATCAAAACGTGGTCCAATGTGTCCTGCAGCGCGGGCAGAAGCTAAATTTCCTGGGCTTTTTTGTCAGAGGAACTGAAGTTTGGGAAGCGTTCCTGGGATCAGTATGATGATAAGAAGCTGCATCCCTAGGTCTCAGAGCCAGATGATCAAATTCTATTGTTGCTTCTATCCACAGAAGGCAAATTATTTGCCGAGTGATAGGACCCAGCAAGGTTTGAAGCATGTTGAGAAAGTTGGCTATGAATTTTTCCTGGTACCCAAACAGCATGGGACCATTTTGTGTTCATTTTCTGAAACTTGGGAAGATTCATGAAATAACACAGAGTTAGTTGTGACTTTCAGGGACAAAAGCGGAAGATTCTCTATTAACCTTAGGGATAATCTGTCTGTTGCAGAACTGTTCAAGTTTGGGGACTTCTCTGTATGATCCGGAGCAGTGGATGAAGAGCTTCTTGTTGGGAGCGCAGAGCGGCTTCCCGAGCGCAGCAGTTGAGCATTGCAGAGCCCTTCAGATGGCTCTAGATGATGTAGCCAAAATAAAACGTTTAAGCTATCCTCGAAGAGATCAGAAGGCTTAAGCTCCTTTTACTATAGGAAATGGCGTCTGCCAAGACAAAGTGAGAGCCTAATGGAATTTTTTGCCCCTCCTGCCAAGGCAGGCTTTCAGTGTGGGTCTAAGTCAGTGCTACAAGAGGTTTATATGTGGATCCTGGTACAGGGAATTTCTTGTGTGATGAGACATGGTGGAGGCTGCAGTGCATAGTGATCTCTCAGACTCGCAGGATGGCTGAGGTTGGAGGGGCCCTTCAGAGATCAGCGAGTCCAGCCTTCTTCCTCAAGCAGGTCACCAAGAGCACGTTGCCCAGGGCCCCGCGCTTTTGAATGTCTCCAAGGAGGAGGCCTCAAACCTTTCTGGGCAGCCTATTCTAGTGCTCTGGCAGCTCATACAAGAAGTTAAGAAGTTTTTTTCTCAGGTTTAGATGGAACATCCTGTGTTTAGGTCTGTGCTTGTTGCCTCTCATCCCATCACTGGTCACAACCGAGAAGTCTCTGGCCTTGTCTTTTTAGATCCTCCTTTCAGATATTTAAATGCAACGATAGGATCCTTCCTCAGTCTTCTCCACTCTTTCTTTTCTCTGCATCTTGCTTGGTGTCCAGAGGCTGAAAAGCAATATGCCTGTGTTCTGTTCTGTGTGGTGGTCCCATAGTTTTTGAAAGGGTTGTTTGCTGAACAAGGCTTTCTTGCTCTTTTGCTTCGCTGTTCTACAGACAAAACCATCAAGCCCCAAACGCACTACAAACAAGATGGTGTTTGCTCTCCCAGCCACAGCTCTGGCCTGCTGTGGGGGCTTTTTTGCGTGTTCATTCTGTTGAAAAGGTTTCTGTTAAGAAATTCCTTGAAGTAGGAATTGGACATTTGTTATGGCTGCTTTCCTTTTAAAATTCCACGCGAACTTGGCCGCTCCAGCAGCCGGAGCAGCGCAGCTGGTGTTCGGAAAGGCCTCCTAGCTCGTCGCCGCTCTGGCGAACCGCCTCAGAGGCAGACGGGGGGCTGCTCACTGCCTGCTGGGTTACTGCCTCCCAGCCCGGGCCCCTGGGGTGTTTGCCATGTGGACAGCTTTCCAACAAGAAGCCGTTCATTTAAGCCTATAGTTGTACCCCAAAATGGGCAGTTTGCTTCAGAAACTGCTGCTGTCTCCTGCAAAGAGAATCATCTGCTAGCCGGGAACCTCGGACGCGGCGCACGGGGCCGAGCTGCTCGCGCCAGCTGCTTTCCTCCTCTCCATTGCTCCCACCCCGAATCCCAGGTGCTGAGGATTCCTGCTTCCATTTTTTCTCTTTTACTTGTTTTTCTGATATTACCTGAACCCTTGTCTGTCATGTGACCTGCTTTTACAGGAACTTCAGAACAAGGTTCTGCTTCGTACACCTCAGTTAAGGTGTAATTAGCTGAATGGTTTAGCCTGTCACTGAAACCCTACTGATGGGAGGAGGGAAGAGGTAGCTGGACGCTGGCGTGAGTGGAGCATTTAGCCTATAAAATGCAACAAGTCTTTGCATGATCATGTACTTAATTGCAGTTAGTCTAACTGTTAGGTTACTTTCATTAAAATTACTTTGCAAATTTATGTTCCTTAAATACATAATATATTGCAATTTAAATGCACACTTGAGTTACAGATGTGTTTGTGTACTTGATAATATTTCTCTTTAAAATGCCATCTCGAATAAAGACACCAAATATTTTGAAACACCAATCTATTACTAATTGAGCATATTGGATACTGTATAAAATATGTCAATTGATTTTTTTTTTACAAAATTAGATAATATCTCTTGCTGATGAAGAAGTAGTCTGTAACACAGTGAGGTCACTCACATAAATAAATAATTATTAAGTTCACCCTCACCCCGGGTGAAGGTATTGGAGTTTGCCCTTTCAAAAAAGGAGGGATGAATTTGGTACTGACGCAGCAGTCTGGTAGGTGATGAAGGAGGCTGCGTCCTCGTTCCTAAGTGACGTGGTGCAACAGGAGCAGATCTGCTGGGCACGGAGAACCTGAGCTCCACGCTGTACAGGTGGCGAGGGTTTGATTTCCAACTAGTTCCAGTTGGATGCTGTGCCTGAATTCCTGCTAGTGGTTGGAGCACGTGCTGAGCACTCCAGAAGGTCGATCTCTGATCTAGTTTTGTTTGAAGGAAGTCTGCTCCATGTGCTTGGCGGACGCTTTGCCATGTAAAGCAAAGCGAGGAGAAAAGGGCATGTGGGATATTGACTTCAAAACTGTGCTCCTGTTTTAAATTAAAATGCTAATGTAGACATACCCAGGGTTGTGCAGATCAACAGAGTCATATCAGTGATCCTACCAAAACACTACTTTAGTGATCCTGGATACCTGATAAATAGGAGCAGGAAATGTAATTAATATAAGAGTTAACAGCTAATAAGAATTTATTTCACTTCATAGTTTGGGAAAAGCATCAGAATAGCAACATAAACACCACTTCTGCTGTTCAGAAATACCGTTGCCCTTGTCAAGCTGCCTATTCAAATTATACAAAGTAGCCTTCGTATAAATTAGATACAGGGAATGTGGTGGTACAAGAGAAAGGGAAAGTACATGCAGCTTTTTTCTGCTTATAGTAGCTTGTTTTGGAGCCTGGCAAAGATGAACTTAGTTCTTTGATTATATATAAAGAGATGTATTTAGTTTGTAGATTTGTTACCAGCTTAATTTAGAAAAGGAAAAAAAACAACCCCACAGACACCTTTGCATGACAAGAATGTTTTTTCATTTTTACCACGGAAGAAGCAAGTCAAGTGTCAGCCTGTCTGCTCAGTGGAGACAGTTGTCTTTAAGAACTAGTGTTATGTGATATTCAGGCTGGTTTCAGGTTGCCTGTTTTAAACAGATTTATTATTTATTACCAAGACTATTAAACCACAGTGTGTTAGGAACACTGCTTATAAATGGACATGGAGACAGAAGTATTCTGACCTTCCCGCAATGGGAAAGGTCCTCCTGGAGTTTGGGGAGGGAAAGCAAAGAAAAGCAGACGCTGAAATTCTTCCTTTGCTGGAAATCACTTAGGCATCCGTTTCATCCACCCCTCTTCCCATACTGTCAGCGCTGGCATTCAAAAAGAAGGCGTTAAACCTCCAGTTTGTAAGACTGGCTTATACGCTTTTTCTAACAATGCATCTAGTAACTGATATTTGAGTCTGTTTTACTTTCAAGGCTCTACTAGCATGCATAAAAGTAGGACTTCTTAATGATGAACATCTTCTGTGGTTTTTCCGAAAGCCTCAGATAATGGAAACGTTCAAAAGTTGTAACACTGGGACCAAACGGAAAAAGTTGATCTAATTGGAGTGTAAATACTAAAGCTGGTAAGCTCAAATTAGTTTTTTCAAAACATATTTGACAACAGTGAGAAAGACACAAATCAGGTGGGTTCAGTATGTCGATAAGACCCCATTAACTGGTTTCCTCTAATACTTGGGTTTATGCCATTTAAAAAAAAAGAAAAATTCATCTCACCCTGCTTGGGGTGCATTTTCAGCTTCTTGGCTTACTTCCCCTTCGCAGGAGCGCTCGTGCCTGTGTGCAGCTATAGCAAACTCCGTGATTATTTCTCAGGATTTTGTAGCTCCTTGTGTAGCGGAACTCATGGGGTGATTCCAGTGGAATCTCCTGTAGTTTCTCTGATGTGTAATGAAGATTAGCTTGTACACTGTGTTCTTTTCCTGTAGGTGTTGCAAACAATGTGGCCTCTTCTCTGGTGCCTGTGTTTAAAATGTTAGTTAAAATTTTAATATTTGTAGGCTTGTAAATCTGGCTGGTACTGGCTAGATGAAGCCGGGAGTTACTGGAGGAGGTCAGGAAGACCAGTAACTACCAAAGCCTTATTTTTTTGGGAAAGCCATCCACATGGATTTTTAACAGCCTTCTCTCCCAACCATCTCCCCTTCATCTGCATCTTTTGGTGTATGTATAGATAATGTTGTGATAGGTTTTAAATAAAATCAATTTTACATGCCTCTAAGTGTCGGTATTTACAAGAACATCACAACCATAGAACTATTAGAAATGCAAGAGTCTGGTGAATTTTACCTAGAAGCAGTCTGTAGTAGCCGTTGGGTTCCATAATGCGCTATATTCACCATAAATTGTCATTCCAGTTTTTTTTCTATTAACTCTTAACTCAAATTCCCTTTCTGTTTTTACAGATTAATAGAAATATGCATTTCCATAATACCACGTTTGAACTAATGAAGTGGAAGTACAGATGAAAACAGTCTGGAGGAAGCTTGAAGTACAGTACAGTTACGTTTAGTTTCCCAATTCTGAGGTAAGGTTAATGCTTACAAATCTTTATTTTGACTGTTCCAGAGGATAAAAAAAAAAGAGAGAGAGACATGTGATAAGTACCCATGTTTTCTTCTTAAAAACAACCAACTTTGTTGGTGACAGTAATCAATGTCTTGCCAAAAATCCGCTGTTGAAGATTGAATGTTCAGGGACCGTGTGCACAGTAGCAGAAGACTCTGTTACAGCAACTATTTGTAGCCCTAAATAGCTTCACTGACCTGTCTGCTGTGAGCTGCAGAACCGCCTCAGCCATCGTGAGGAATTAACAACGTGCTAAACTAATAGGGGTTCTATAGGACTCAACACCTGCCTGTAAGTGGCTGTCTCCACATTTCTGAGTTCAGCCCAGACATGTGTCAGGTTCACAGAGCAGGACCTTCTCACTCTAGGCCCTTCAGTGCAGAAAAGATGTTGCTGTGCACGTGGTGTGGATACAGTAGCTTCAATATCCATCTTGACTATGACAACAGCAGGTACTTTTTTGCAGATACTTACTAATTTGCTGATGGGACTTGACAAAAACTTTGTGGTGTCACATGGTGGGGTATGAGCATAAAAACTGCAAATATTGCAAGATGCAGTATACTTATATATTTAAATGCCTCTTGTTCACTGTATTCTTTGTAGCAACAGTATTAGCAATAGTTGAGGGGAGGGTGTTTTGTGTTTTCCTGGTATGTCAATTATTGGTCTGGCAAAAAAAATAACAGGAACAATACCTCATCACAAGATTTCACTGTCTTCACAGTTTGTTCTGTTTTTACTAAGGTTTATGGAATTGTATGTCAATAAATATTGTAAAGCAACAGGTAATTGGGGTCATCTTTCTTTTTTTCTAGATATGTTCTACTACTTCTGGTATCTTTATATTTTAGTTGCAGTAGCAAGGAGAATAAGTTGAGTGTCTCAATATTTAAAAAAGAGAAAGACAAAAAAGGACAAAAATAAGTTACCAACACTATAAAGAGAAAAAGAATATAAATACTGGATACAGACTGAATAATGTCTTGCATTGGTATAACATCCCAGATATATTTCTGAGATATCAGCAATATTGCATTTATAGCCTGACCTGCTTTCACTTAAAATTTCTGAAGCCATTTATCATTTTGCAATGCACAAAATGCTGCAGAAGTGAGTGCTTTAGTTTTAAACATAGATAGCACAGAAGAGTTGTGTGGTGTTAGCATCTGAACAGCCGTGATAACTTCCTGGTTAGTGGTGAATGTGGTTCACATTGGTTAAAACGTCGTAGGTGGTGTACCACTAGAAACTGAATAAATCTCTGCTTCTCTCTGCCATGTTAAGGTTTACTGATGGCTATCATACATTTCTGACAATTCTGTTTTCTCAACATGAGAATTCTGACTTATTTTAGTATTTAATGTAGTATCTCTAATACAGCCCTTCTTTGTACTTATATTAGTTTTTCTTTTATTTTCTCAAACAGTGTAAATTTCTCCTAGGCTAATTCAGTAGGGTAAACATCTTTTAATAGGGAATGTGTGAATTCTTACCAGTCTTTAGTGTTTGTGTGGTGTGTGGTTCTATCTGCTTAATTACCTTCAGCAACTTATCTCATGTATCGTGTCGTCTCACTGTTTAGTGTGGATTATGACTTTGTTTTCTTCAGGGTGTTGAATAGTAAGGTTGGATGGCTTTTTAACATACTTTTTTTTCCTATTAAGATGTAAAATACTCCCCTAGTTCATCTTACCTACAGCAAGGCAACAGCTGTGCAGCAGCAGGTTGGAGATGTCTGATGTGCAGCTGTTGAAGCAGCGACTTCAGTTGACCGTTTCAGAATGACTTCCTGGTTTTCATCTTCCAGCTTTCTCTCCATCTCTTCCCAAGCAGTCAGTGACAGAACCATCTCTTCTCGTCTGGGGTTTGCTCATTCAGTGGGCAGGCGTGTGTGTGTGTGTGACAAAATTTTCAAGCAGTAACATGGTGCACCTGCAGTGTTCTTGTTACAAACCTTCGGGACATGCAAGAGCTTCCCCGTTGAGTCAGGGCAGGCACTGTGTAGCTGCTGGGGTGGCTGTCACTGGGTCCCCTGTCAGCAGACTATCTCCTAGCACTTCTTCATTCCCGAACAAGCAGGCTCAGCTGCTTCGGGCGCAAACCACAAATGGGAAATGCAGGTCAGCGTGTTCAAAGCATTTTCCAAGAGTGGAGAAACCAGAAGTCCTTGTCCTCTTTTGAGTCTCTTGATCAAAACAGGAAGTGCTAGTGACTTCATTCCTAGGCTTGCAATGTGGAAGCTTCTTGCGGAGCTTGCTCTTGCTCTCACACACCTCGTGGGTCCTTGGGAAATGAAGGAAATGTGGGTGCCCAATCCACAGTCACTTCTGACTGTGCCTTACTTAATCATGTTTGTCCTGGTTTAGAGCAGGTTATTGCAATAGCTTTACCATCTTGATCTGGGACTGTTCATAACAAGAGCCTTCCTTGTTCCTGGACCAAGACGACCGAGATCAGGAAAAATGAATTTAACTCTTCAGGATCCATTTCATGTCAAGGTTTTTATTTTGGATCTGCCAGACTCCAAGCTCCTGTTGAATGTGTAACGGGCATCTCAAAGAAATCAAGCCAACTCCACTGCTGTGGAAGACCGTCTGTAGCTATTGGTGACATGAATGCAGAAATAATGAACTAAATGGGATATAAGGGAAGAGGGCACTCGAGTCATTCTCCTGGCTTTTATACTCTTGCCCAGAGCATCTTCTGCTGACTGCTCCTAACGCAAGCATAGGGCCACAACGGTCTGATGTACCTCTCTGCCAGGGGTGTATTTAGACTACAGCATTTCATCCACTTTTTGATTTCACTTCGGTTCCTATCTCAAATCTTTGAAAAAACTCAAAGAAAACAAGGCAATGGGAGTAATATTCTGGAAGTGGCAGAGGATTCACAGTTGCAGCTTTGTGCAGTGTTACACAGAGATACCTCAAACTTGTTTTGGACCCCTCACTCTTTCTGTCTAAAATAATTCCTTACTCTCTTGAACTTGCAACAAAAATTTCTTATCATAGTCTGTGTTTTTCCTGTAACTCTCCCATCTTGCCTTCACAGGTTTGATTTGAATCATCAGTCTCAATTCTGACCTGTAGTAGGCCAGAATTACTAACTTCAGCTCTAACTTCAGCTTCTATCAAGCTTCATGTTTTCTCTTGAGACTACGTTGTAAACTGCATCCAAACTAATTTGTTCACAGAAACTGACACAGTTTTAGAAGCTAAAAAGCTCAAATAGCAAAGCAAATAAACCTGTTCTTTCTCTTAGAAGAACTGATAGGTGGTATTTTGTTCTACTAACAAAGATAGATTCTATGTATTTGTGCATTTTCTGTGTTTGAAAGGTTATCACATTAATTTAGCTGTAATTTAGCTTTTCCACTTATAAATTTTGAGTGGCAAAGAGATTGATCCGGTGAAAGCTTTTTTTTTTTTTTTAATAAACCTTCCAAGTCTGACAGAAATTAAACAGAAGTTTTATGTTGCAGCTAAATAAAGGTCATATACTGAAGCTAATGAGAGTTTTTCTCTGTGCTTCACCTATTATGTCCTGCCAATATTTGGGCTCCCTAAAAAGAAGGGCAATCAAAAAGGAAAAGGGAATAGAAAGGATTACAAGATTGAGAGGCTGATTTAGACACAGCTTACGTGTGCATCTAGATTTGTCAACAACAAAAAAATACTTCTGTCACGGATGCTCTGTTTTTTTTTATTTTTGCTTTTTTTAAGGTGGTGCTTTGACAATCACCCTTATTTAGTTACTATTCCAGTGATACTAGTATTCTAGCTTGCCTAGATTTCTTCTTTGATGCCTTATGTAGTGCTTCAAACCCCCCTCATTTGTAGATTCAACTTAATTGTCCTGAGGAATCCTGAGGAAGCCTATATATGGAATTCTTACCCACACTGAGAGCAGTTTCTCTGTTCTGCAGCCAACAGCTTTTGAAAGCTAAACATGTCATGTGTGGGACCATGCTACTTTCTCTTGTTTTCATAGCTGTTGGTAAAAGTGAAAAATTCTGAGTTTTACAAAACGGTCCGTATGTGAGATTCAAAATCTGTCATGTCCAGTTGTATAAATAGTACTCTATTCCAGAAAATCGGCCCCGTGTACACTTTCTAAATGACCTTGGTGGTCTCTGAGCAGACTATTAGTCTTACTTGATTTTTTTTTCATGTGGAGAGTAAGTTAAGTTATTAATAGAATATTGTTACATACTGACATTATTATCAGCTTATCAGCATTATTATCAGCTTTAATGATAATTATTATTATCATTATTAGAGCCCCTTTTGCTTATGGGTAAAGTCAGTAAGTTGGGGTGGGGCTTAGCTATATTAGCGTTCAGTCTTACAAGAGAGATCTCAAGCTGTGGTTTATTGTGGTAGAAAGCGTTATCACTTGAATACTTAAAAGTTTGAGTTCAACAATGTACTTTTATCTTTCTCCTACAAAGATAATACACTGGGCCACTGAAGTGTAGAGAAGGTTTATCCTTCAGCCTTTGAAGAAAGAGAGTAACTGGTGTTGTAGATAAGTAGTGAACAGTAAAGGCTAAAGAATCATGTAAAAAACAAGATTCTGATAGTACTTGTTTATGTATTTTCCTTGGAAATAAATACTCCTTTACTGTGCACATATTACATTGTTCTGAATGCTTTGGGGAAGAGGGTCTCAAATATATACTGCGGTTAAGACTTAGAATTCTGTTCTGGATTTTTATCTTTTTATCTTTTGCTACAGTTGATGAGCAATACAAATAATCACGACAACTGAAACAGAAAATGTAGTATGTGCTCCTCGTGTGTGTGGGTGTGTGTGTGTTCCTTGATTTCTTAGCTGTCTAGTCTCTTTTTTGCCATCTTAAGAGGAAAAAAAATAAACAAGATTTGAATTAAAAAGAAATAAATAAGTAAAAAAAGGAAAGATGCCATTTAATCCTTAAAAAAAGAAAAATGAATA